CTCCTCCTTCCCACCCCCCCAAAGCCCCAGTAGATAGTTGTATGTCATAGTTGCACATCCTTCTAGTTGCTGTATGTGGGACGTGGCCTCAGCATGGCTGGACAAGTGGTGCGTTGGTGCGCGCCTGGGATCCGAACCCGGGCTGCCAGTAGCGGAATGTGTGCACTTAACCGCTAAGCCACGGGGCCGACCCGAAAAAATTATTTTTTTAAGTTCCAAATGAATGTCTTAGAAGTGGATTTGCACAGCACAAAACTGCTTTGAACTTTTAGGATAGTAGTTGTTTACCACACTGACTAATGTTCAGCTGATTAATTTTCTCATAGGCACAGCAGAACACTTGATTTTAATTTGACTTGTGAAAGATGATGAATTTTCACTCTGTTTTTTTGTGAAGCTATAGTATCAGCCATCTGTAGTGTCTTAAGTTTTTCAGAGGCAAAGCACATATCTCGTCTTTCATGTCTACTGATGACACCCAAATTGAGAACCATGTGCTCTGGCTGTGCAGAAAAGACTGGTAGGAAAAACTACTTTCCTATGTCTCTAGCTCCTTAAATTTTTTTTTATGTGTTCCTTCTTCATTTTTTCTTTCAGGTTGTGCCTACAACAGATCACATAGATACAGAGAAATTGAAAGCCAGAGAACAGATTAAGTTTTTTGAAGAAGTTCTCCTATTTGAGGACGAACTTCATGATCATGGAGTTTCAAGCCTGAGTGTAAAAGTTGTGAGTATTATGATTTTTGTTTAAAATTTCTTTCTTTCTTCCCTTCTTACCATTGGTCAGAAATACAAGACTCACTTCAAATCACACTGTCTTAACATGATGTCATGTAAAGTTTCACTTGGTCTAGAGCACATCTTACTAATATCCATTATACAAGTCACAACATCTTAGTATATTGTTAAGACTTCAGTTTAGCAAAGCGATGTTTTAATACTTACCTGGCCACTCTGTAGTTTGTTTGCCTATTATTTAATTTGAATGAAAACTATGGCTTAAGTCTCCAGCATACAAGTGGAAAACAGAAAATGATGAATGTAAAATCCCTTCTCCTTTTGTATTCTTTTCTATCAGTGGAGGACAAACTGCTTCCATTAACAATGTCATTGGTGGAACATGCTTAAAAAGAATAATAAATAGGCCACTAGCAGTTATTCATATTTGTTAACTATTAGGTTGTAATTGAGTTTCTAACATTTTCCAGAAAAACTTCAACTGAAACTTTTAATTAAATACCTTATCCCTTAAGACCCAGCTAAAATGTCACCTCCTTTGTAAGGCCTTTCACAGCTCCCATAGGCAGAGTTAAATATCCCTTTTCCGTACTCCTGTAAGTACTTTTTTTTTACCCCTCAATTATAACACTTATTGTAAGGTCTGTCAAAGACAGGCCCCAGCATCAAGCATTGTTCTTGGAGCATAATGATTGTGGGTGTTGTGATTTAAACAATAATGAAATGAAAACAATAAATATATAAATAATAAATAAGTAATGGATGAAAACAGTAAATCAAAAGCAGCAATAATTTTTTTTTTTTTTTTGTGAGGAAGATCAGCCCTGAGCTAACATCTGCCAACCTCCTCCTTTTGCTGAGGAAAACTGGCCCTGGGCTAACATCCATGCCCATCTTCCTCCACGTTATATAGGATGCCGCCACAGCATGGCTTGCCAAGCGGTGCGTCGGTGTGCACCCGGGATCTGAACTGGTGAACCCCGGGCCGCTGCAGCGGAGCGCACGCACTTAACGGCTTGCACCACCAGGCCGGCCCCCTCTCCTTTTTTTTTTTGTAAGGAAGATCAGCCCTGAGCTAACATCTGCCAATCCTCCTCTTTTTTTTTTTTTGCTGAGGAAGACTGGCCCTGGGCTAACATCCATGCCCATCTTCCTCCATTTTATATGGGACACCGCCACAGCATGGCTCGACAAGTGGTGAGTCGGTGCGCGCCTGGGATCTGAACCGGCGAACCCTGGGCTGCTGCAGCAGAGCGCCTGCACCTAACCACTTGCGCCACTGGGCCAGGCCCAATAATTTTGTTTTAAAGTCAGGTTTTTTTGTAGACTCGTAGAGTTTTGGGATTGTAATGAATTTTTATAGAATCATTTAGTCTAGCCCTCTGTATTTTATAGCCGAGGCCCAAAAGGTTAGTTTATCTAAGGTCGTGAAACTAGTTAGCGACAAAGTTTTCTTTGTACTACCTAATATATCTCATCATGCTAGCATTAGATAATTGTTTTCTTAGCACGTTACTCCCTTGTTCGCCTATAACTGTCCCCCAGTTTATCTTTTGTCAGTTAGATTGGATGATCTTTGACTCGTCCAGTCAGGTGCCTTTCCACTTGTCTACCCACCTACAGAACTGACTTTGTTGAATGTTCATTATGAGTTTGCATATCTGGGTTTGCATTTGTATCCAAGTGGGTGGATATTCTATGATGTATACAAGTGGGTGGGTACGTGGGGAGCACATGTGTTTTTTGTGGATGAAGGAGTTTAAGAGGATATGGGCATAAATGAATTATGTGTGTACCAGAGTAAATAGTAAGTCTCAAGCTGAAGAGTAACGTATCTTAAAATGTTCTTTTTTCTTATCCAGCGTAACTTTTTGAAAGTTATGTGCTAGAGTTGCATTTTGAGAATGCCTGGAAGAATTTCATTAGAATAGTGTCTTTCTGGGTTGGTTTCTTTCCAACAACGTGACAGATATTGCTGTGAATAAATGCCATAGTTACAGGTGTAGAGGCAATGGGGTATGGGCAAATGAAGTTCCCTTCTGTAGAAGTGAAGACTAGCCTGGAAATACGGGTGCAGGTGAGAAAGCGGGAATGTGGTGCTTGGGCAGCTGCCGGAGTAGGACTTTGCAAGAAGGGGACATGAAGGTCAGTATCATGCTGTAAAGAGGTGTTGTAAGCTTAGAATAGGATGGTGTCTACTAGACTCAAACATTTGTTTATTGGTTTTAGCAATTAGAATATTGTTATTCACCTTGGCAAGAACAGTTTAAGTTACATGGTCAGGGAGTAAATGACAGATGTGGAGCTGGACACGGAGTGTGGCTGTAGACCAAACTTTCAGAAAGCTTTACTGGTATAGAAGAAACAGAAACGTGGCTAGATAGACCATGAGGTTGACAGAGGCGTGTGTGTGTGTGCGCGCGCGCCTTGTTTTTAAATATGGGGAAGACTTGAGCATGTTTAGGTGCTCATAGGAAGGAATCACTTGTAGAGAGGGGAGAAGATGGATGGAGTGAGGTTTCTGAGGAGGAGGAGTAGGGGAGGAAGAGAAAGGCTTTGAGCCTTTACTGTATGTGAGACACTGAGTTGGAAGAACTCCAGTCTTCTCCTGTGTTTCTCCTTTACTGTCACACTGTCACACTCACAACACTTCTGACACTAGATGTGTGGCTGTTTTCCCCACACCCAGCAATTCTGCAACACCAGCTGGGTGTCCTATAATTTAACTCAGTTCTGACACTATCTACCTGGAGATAGCGTCAGATCCCATAGATTAAGGCCTCAGTCCCACAAGACTGCCCCCACCCCACTTCAGATGCCAATCGCAAGTAGTGGGTTCCCAGGTTACCCACAACTTCTGTCCAACTTGACTGCAAGTTGGAGGTTCCCATGACCTCCTCCCCCTTGGATGTGGTTATTTGCTAGAACAGCTCATAGAACTGAGGGAAACACTGATGTTTACCAGTTTATTAAAGGATGTGACAGATGAACCGCCAGATGAAGAGATAGATGGGGCGAGGTCTGGGAGGGTCTCAGGCGAAGGAGCTCCGTCCATGTGGAATTGGGATGTGTTCACTAACCTGGAAGCTCTCTGAACCCTGTACTGTTGGGATTTTATGGAGGCTTCCTCACGTAGGCATGATCAATTATTAACTCCATTTCCAGCCCGTCTCCCCTCTCTGGAGGATGGGGTGGTGGGGCTGAAAATTCCAAGCTTCTAATCATGGCTTGGTCTTTCTAGGAGCAGCCCCCATCCCGGAGCCACCCAGAGTCCCCTCGTTAGAATAAAAGATGATCCTAGTGCTCTTGTCACTTAGGAATTTACGAGAGTTTCAGAAGCCCTGTGTCAGGAACCAGGGGCAGAGACTAATATATATATTTTCTATTATCTCACAGACACAATGCTAGATAATTATCTATATCTCACAGACACAATGCTAGATAATTATCTATATTATCTCACTTAATCCTCAGGAAAATTCTATGCAGTGGATACTTTAATATCCTTATTTTACAGATAAGGAAATGGAGGGTCAGATATATTAAGTAACTGGCCCAAGATCAATCACACAGCAGACCAGTTTGAGTCTCTGCCCTTGCTCATAGTCTTCTAGGAACTAGATCACAGAGTAGAAGGATTAGCCTTAGACAGGAGAGAGAGATGCTTCTTCCATGGTGATAGGAGGAAAGGGGGACAGGATGTCAATAAGTCAGCCTCTATTCCAGTGATCCCCGAACCTGGAGTTTTATCAGAATTACCTTAGGCAGATTATGGATTTAGTTGTCTTTTAACACTATAGGAGCACAGAGAGTATTTCCTGCTTGATTATACATAGTACATTTGCTGTGTGTTTGTTGACTGGAAAGATGGATAGACAGATGTGGGAATGGAGGGAATAGGTCAGGAAAGGCTTTTTAGAGGAGGTAGTCCCTGATCTGAGTTTTAGGTGTATAAGTTTCTCTGGCTGGACCAGGGAGGGGCCTGGTGCTAGAACACAGTGACATCGATGTATTTTCTGAGCTGGTCATCTGTGCGAGTTGCTAATTGCTTCAGGCTGTCATATTACTGGCTGCTGCCAGAGAATGAAGTATGATGATCATTTCCAAAGCCTTTGCTGGGTCCTTTCCACTTAAAGTTCACTTAAGGAGGTTGTTTAATTGGCCTTTTTCGATAGAGCTTTTCCTGACTTACAATCTACATTTTCCTAGTTGCTTTCAAATAAAATGTGAACCATCACAGATTATTTTTAGTTTAACAAAGCTTTCCAAGGAACTTCTAAAAAAAAAGTATATATTTTTGAGAACTACCTTATATCTTTCCTTGTTCCTAGGAGTTTGATTGGGGATATGGAATATATAGATATCATCTCACTTTCAAAATGTTCTTAGAATCATCTGGGGTAATGGTAGTAGTGTTCATTGCTTTTATTTGGTGTTTGAACCTTGGCTGGAAAACTGCTAAAAAGTTCTTGTTTTAGAATTGCAAAACTAATTTCTTATGAATGTTTGTTTTTTTAGGTTTCCATAATGATTATACAACACTCTAAAAAGAAATGCTATTGAAATATGGAAGCTGCTTGTATAAACAAAGTCACTTACTTTAAAGTCCTCGTATTGTTAGATGGAATCTTTTAGATTGCTCTTAATTTATTTCACTGTTTCAGGTTTTAAAGTGTTTTTTCCACCTTAATTTTTAATTCTAAACCTAGTCAATTTTTATTTTAAAAAACCCCATAATTTCCTTGTGATACAGTTCCCCAGGGAGAAAGAGTAGATTTAGAGCTCTGTGTACCATGAGGTCTGGGATGTTAATGGATTTGCTTCATTGAGTTTATTATGAGTTTTGATAACTTCATATGAGTGGCATTACTTATATCTAATTAGAAGATATTTGTTTCAGAAATTAATTTATCTTTTGTATTTCTAAATTAGCTTTTCTCAGCAATGTTTGTTTTTAGGATTAGGATTAAATTACAATGTTTGTGATTAGGATTTTGTGTCCTAATCTACTGTCCTTGGTAGGGCTTACAGTTTGTAGGACTGTGTTCTAACAGAGAGCTGAAGAGAAGCTCTTTTCGTGCTAATATGTTATTTTTTAACTTGCAGAGAAAATAAATTTCCTATCTACCAAATAGTGGCATTGCTGTGATGTTCTGTAGTGGTTTTTACAGCTAATGGTTAGTTCATTCTTAGTAGAGTCAGGAGTGAGTGTTGTCACCTTCTGCTTCCATGTTTTACTTAGAATCCGCGTATACTGGACAGGGACACATCTTTCATCTCTGTTGTACAAGGAATTCCACAATGCCTGTGCAGAGGTAGCTTTTGTTAGAAATGTAGTCCTGCAGAATTGTCACATTTTATAGAGACAGGACCTAAGAGATTGTTTCCTCGCATCCTCTATTGTTAGAAATGAAAGAGGAGACTTAACTTGCTCTAGGTTAGTGATTCTCAACCTTATCAGACCCATTGCTCCACTTTTTTTGTCAAATACTTTTAAGCACCCCCTCCCTTTTACTACCCTGAAATGAAATGCTTAGATAATATAACCCACCTTCTTTCCAATAAATCAACAGACTGTCCTAATTATAAAATAAAAGGGAAATAAAAAGAAATTGATTTAGAATAAAATGATATGTATTTCAATATGTAAATATATAATATGACTGCACTAAAAGACATAATGAAGTAGTCAGGTACTCATATTTGCATATTGAATCTCTGTGAATGCGACAGCTACAAGTGTAAGCTGACAGAGATGCCAGGTGTCAGTCAGTGACTCAGATAACACAGTTGGGACGCCAGTGGTGATGTAATTTTTCAAAATGGTGAGCTACTCTGAGTAAAGTTCCAAATAAAACAAAGTATAATCTTCCCTTGATTTATAAGGTAATTGCCTTCCTGGAAATTGAGTAAATTTTGTATTTATGTGTGAAATGGAATTAGGTTCTAAGGTCAGTTACTTTTAAATCAGTTGTTTCTCCCACATAAATGCCAGGTGAGATATTTGGAAGTTTTGTGGGATGGAAGATTGGATTTTGTTGTATAGGATCGTCCTGTGCATTATAGAACATCTAACGTCTCTGGTCTTTAACTGCTAAAAGTTAGTATTGGTTGTTCATCATTGTGACAACGAAAAATACCCTCAGAAATTTCCAGATGTCCCTTAGGAGAGAACTACTGCCTTAAAATATACAGTTGAATTGTAGAATTGGGACTAGAACTCGGGTCTCCTAATTCCTAGTCTCCCCATTATGTCATGCAGAAATGATACTTCATCTTGCTTCTTGTGTGTGACTGTTAGTAGCTAATTTTGAAATTTGAAGAAATGTGAATTTGTCTTTCCAGTAATTACAAATAGCACTCTGTCTGGTAATGGTGTGCTTCCCCATCAATTTATTGTGACGTACCAAGTTGTTGTAAGTCACGTTCTTCCTCCAGCTCTTCTTTACTGTAAGTCTTGCTTTTCAGGCTATTGCTGATAACCCCATCAGAATGCAGTTTGACCCAGAGCCTTTTCTCCAGCAAAGATAGCTTCTAGCCTTTATTTCATTCAGCCAGTAGCTAATGAGCACCTGCTGTGTGCTAGCTAGGACACAGTGATGAACAAAGCCATATTCCCACTGTCCTGGAGCCTATGGTCAAGTGGAGGGAGATAGGCTTTAAGCAAGTAAACACAAAAATGAATATAGTTACAAATCTGTTCATTTGTAATGGACTACTATGAGAGAATAATAAGAGAAATCTGCTATCATGGAATGGTAGGAAAGGCCTCGCTGTAGAAGTGACATTTCCACTGAGATCTGAAGGATGAGTGAGCATTAGCTGGGAGAACACGCCAGGTCAGGGAACGGGGTGTGTAAAGGTCCTAGGGCAGGAGAGCTTGGCCTTCGGCTGGTGACTCTCCAGGTGGTAAAGCCACTATCATTATTGGGTTATCTTGTTATTTCTTCTTTCTTCATTAATGTTGCCCTGTGCTTGTATGGAATTGCAGGCAGTTTCCTGAATAACTTTACTATTTCATGCCTTAGTACTTTTTGTACATGCTGTTTCCTCTTTCTGGAATTCTCCTTCCCACCCCCAGATCTTCTTTCCATGGTTAGCTCAAGCATTGCCTTCTCTGACTTTCTTCAGCAGCCTTAAATACTTCTTTCTTTGAATGCTTCTTGAACCTTGTGCATACCTCTGTTATAGCAGCTACCACTCATTTTATCTGTCTGTTTTCCTCTTTGATAGACTTCTTGAGCATTGGAATTGTAACTTTCTATTTTTATAAATCCAAGACCTACTATAGTAAGAACTGGACACTTAGTAGATAACAAGTATTTATTTAGTGAATGGTTAAAGCATATTCATTTTAAAGACCCCACACTCATCTAACCCCTCCCTCCCTGCCACTAGGACCCACCTTCTTACTCTCCACTACTTTGGGCTTTCTTCAGTGATGATACTTGGAAAACAGAAATGTGTAGAAGGGACACAGATGAAAGATGTTAAGAACATGTTACAATGATCTCATAAACCAGTCTTAGTATGAGATAGCACTTAATTGGTTGCACTGAATCAGAGCATTCCATTTAAGGTCTCCTGTCTTTATTTATGTAAAGTGAATAAAAGATGAGTAGCAACAAAGAACCAAATTGTTCTTTCATTTCGATGTTACTGGTGTTGACATTTACTATAAGTACTATTGTTTTTTAAAATGAACATTATAGGGCCGGCCCTGTGGCTTGGTGGTTAAGTGCGCGTGCTGCGATGCTGGCGGCCCGGGTTCGGATCCCGGGTGCGCATCGAGGCACCACTTCTCTGTCCAGCCTGAGGCCGAGTCCCACATACAGCAACTAGAAGGATGTGCAGCTGTGACATACAACTATCTACTGGGGCTTTGGGGGCAAAAAATAAATAAAATCTTTAAAAAAAAAAAAATAAATAAAATAAAATGAACATTATAATTTTCACATTACTTAGGAATGTTTTAAGACTTTTTAACCTGAGTATCTTTTGACCTAGAAAAAAATATTTTTCTCTTATAGGAAAGTGAAACCAGTATGTTAAATAATCCCATGTAAACAAGGTTTTGAGCCTTAGTTGGAGCTGGGAAAAAGAACCTCTAGTTCAGAGATTTCTGTATACTGCTAATTCAGCCTTCTTCTGATGCCTTTTTAAAAAACTTTTTTCTTTTAGAAAAGTAATAAAATCTTATTTTTCATTACAATATTAATGTACTTTTTTTTTTCAGAGAGTAATGCCTTCTAGCTTCTTCCTGCTGTTGCGGTTTTTCTTGAGAATTGATGGGGTGCTTATCAGAATGAATGACACAAGACTTTACCATGAGGTATCAGTTCTCATTTATGACTATACTGATTGATACTGGGCTGGGCCATGTTGTTTCATTGTCAGTCTGAGAAGTTGAAATTAAATGATGCTGTATATTATACAGTGATCCTTCTAACCTTTGAGATTGGGTGTTGCGCATTCACTGTTGATGCACAGTTATTGAAACATTGTATGTTCTTTTCCAGAAGTTCTGGTAGCTGAAAGTGTTTTCTAAAAGACCCTCCCCAGGTTGGGGAGTCTAATGCTTTGAAAAAAATCTCATGTGTACTTAATCTGTTTAAGAAAACTGTCCCTTAACTTTTACCTTTGTTTATAGTATGTATTGTTTATATAATGTCCTAATATTAGGAATACCAATCACGTGGCTTCCTGAAATTTGTATTATATCATTATTTTGATAGTTGTTCTCAAGTTTGAAAGCTCTGTGCTCCATCTGAAGAAACTGTTAACATACAAGGTTTAAAAAAAAGTGTTAAGGGGGGCGGCTTAAATTGAGTCATGAAAATTCTTCTAGTAGCTTTCTAGAAGCCTATCCTTTTTGAATGACTTTTTAACTTCAGATTTTTGATCATGTAGAATGATGACTTAGAGAAGAGATCACCGGTATCAGTCAGGGTAATTGTAGTAAGGGTCAACTCTCACAACAGCTCTATGAAATAAATGCTTTTATTTTCTCTGTTTTATAGCTGGGGCAACTAAGGCAAAGAGAGATTAAGTAACTTGCCCAAGTTAACAGGTAGCAGAGCTGGGATTTGAACCCACTAGGATGGGATTGGATTGGTGTAGGTCCAAATCCTGCACTTAGGATGGTGTCTTTTTTTCTTTGAAATAACACAGTGGCTGTGATGGACCTTTTTCTTTTTAAAAGTGGTAGCAAAGTACTAAAAATAGGCTTCATTATTCTCCCTCAGAAAAAATGAAATCTAAATTTTAAAAATGCTTATGTTTTAACTCAACAGTGTTGAATTTTAAAGGAATTTGTCCTAAAAAGAATTCTTATATACAGTAGTCCACAAATATTAATCAGGCAGTCATAAAGAGTTGTATTTATATGGATGTTCATGGCAATGCTATTGTTTCTAATAGCAAAAAGAAGAGAAGGAAGGAACTTAATACCCATTCAATGGGCATTGATTAAATTGTTTACTTTATATCCATATAGTAGAAAAATATACAACCATTAAAATTAATGGCAGAGAGTTATATTTAACTGATTTGGAAAGATGTGCATCTCAGTGTTGAATTTTAAGAAGCAAATATGAATCTATTTATATAAGATTTTGTGTAGAGATTTCTAAATGTTAAGGGTAGTGTTGTCTATAGAAGTTCTGATTGCTGATGATTTATACTCTATTCTTTTATATTATTTGATTTTTTTTACAATGAGCATTAATCTGTTTTTATTGATATAAAAGATTGAAACTTTAAGAGAATATAATCTTGTGATTTTCCTTTTATTAAATAATGTTTCACCAAAAAAAAGTTGTAATAAATTGCTTTCTAAAACCTAACTTTAAAAAGTCTTAAATGGGAAAAAATTGAAGTACCAAAAGAGTAATTTTATTTATTTATTTATTTGTTTGTTTGTTTGTTTATTTATTTATTTATTTATTTATTTATTTATTGTGAGGAAGATCAGCCCTGAGCTGACATCCATGCCAATCCTCCTCTTTTTGCTGAGGAAGACTGGCCCTGAGCTAACCTCCATGCCCATCTTCCTCCACTTTATGTGGGACACCGCCACAGCAGGGCCTGACAAGCGGTGCATTGGTGCACACCCGGGATCTGAACCCGGGCCCCCAGCAGCGGAGCGCGCACACTTAACCACGGGGCCACCCCCAAAAAAGTAATTTTTTTTTTATTATTATTATTTTTTTATTTTTCCCCCAAAGCCCCAGTAGATAGTTGTATGTCATAGTTGCACAACCTTCTAGTTGCTGTATGTGGGACGCGGCCTCAGCATGGCCGGAGAAGCAGTGTGTCGGTGTGCGCCCGGGATCCGAACCCCAGGCCGCCAACAGCGGAGCGCGTGCACTTAACCACTAAGCCATGGGGCCGGCCCCAAAAAAAAGTAATTTTAAATAAGCAGTTTGGCAAGAATTTTGTGGAAATGGGAGAGAATAAAATTTGTTTGAAGTTCTTTTGGGAACATAAAAGTAGCCACAGTTATGTAGGTAGATGATAATATAGCTTAAGGAAAAGATGTAGTTCCAAACTTGAAGTAATATTAAAATGTCTTGCATATCTCATTACAAACATATTTTCTTTCAAAGTAAAACATGTGCTTGTGTTTTTCTTACACAGTATTATTAAATCTGTTTACATATGTGTCTGATATTACTGTGATTTATAGAGATTGGAATTAATTCAGAATTCTTGGTGAGAACTAGTTATCTCACTGTAGATATTCTTGTCAAACTTCATGCTACTTTCACAATCTGTTCTAAAGTGTAGACAGTTCTGTTTAGTAGGAAGGATTTTATAAGTCAGTATAAATAAATTTATTACAAACTTTTTTTTTATTTTTAAACATAGGCCGACAAGACTTACATGTTACGAGAATATACATCACGAGAGAGCAAGATTGCTAATTTAATGGTACTGTATTTAAATATCAGTTTTTAGAAGTTGAATTTTAATGTTTCACTTTAAGTATGGTATCTCCCAATATCCCACCCATCCACCCAAATCTACATCGCTAAATCCATTCGTTTACCTAATAGGGCTCTAGAGGATAAATCCCACTGGAGCGTAACTTTTCTGAACTTACCTCAAATACAAGAACAGTTAGACTTGTTAGGTACCTTAGCCGTCATCCAACCTAATTTCATTAGATTGCAATTGCATTTCAGATTCAATCAGATTGCATTTTATTCTAGAAAAACTGAGTCCCAGAGGTGTGACTTACCCAAGTCTCACAGCTGGTTGGTGGTGGCGCTGCAATTGTCACCAGTTGGGTGTTCTTTCCACTTATCACTCTGTCACCCTATAATTTCTTTCTACCCACTCTCGTTTTTTCTTCCTAAAATTTGTAATTCTGTACCATGACTTGTTTGTTTTGGTATAGTTTTCCTTTATTTTTTGCTCCCCTGGGGCTTGTAAAGAGCTTCTGCAGGTCTGTAGGATTCTCTAATGGGTTGCTTAAAAGGTGACACCTTCTTCCAAACTTGATATTCTTTTTTCACCCTTAGTGCTATTCCTGTCTGGGTATAGAATGTATGTGGGTTAGAAAAGTTACTTAGAGTCTGTTGTAGACCACAGACTGGGCTCTAACCGAAGGCTGGTGCTTTCAGGGTACAAAAGCAACAGGAAAAGGGGATTAGATTAAGATGCATTAAATTCTTAGGACATTTATGGGAGCATTATAAATAACAGAGCTGAATGATTCGGTAACAAGAGATGGCTGTTATTATTAGGTACACTTAATGATGCTCCTTATATCTGTATATTGCACTTCATTTTAAAATTGGCATGCTTTATGAATGCTTGCACCAAAGCATTTCTAAAGAGTATCAATGCAATAACTGAGTATATGCTAATATGATTTATATATTTCCTAGCATGTTTCACCTTCGCTCTTCACGGAACCTAATGAAATATCACAGTATTTACCGATAAAGGAGGCGGTTTGTGAGAAGCTAGTATTTCCAGAAAGAATTGATCCTAACCCTGCACACTCACAAGAAAGTACACCTGTGGAATAGAATGTGATACAACATACACTGACCGTGGAATCTGACTGGAGACCTTGGCTTTGTGGAGGGGGTATTTTTATTATGAGAATTAATTGCCTTGTCTATGTGCAGTTTTTCTGTAGCCTTTAAGGAAAAAAAATAAAAGATTGTTGCAGGCAGTTTCCACTCAACTGCTCTTTGTACTGTCTATCTTCACATTCATATTCCAGATTTATATTTTCTGGAGTTAAAATCGGATTTCTAAATTATCACAAAGTGAGACTTCACCAGTAGTGATGTGTGTGTGTCTCATGTGCAGTGGGCATAATCTTCATCCATCATGAAACACTGTTTTCTACCGTGAGGAGGTTAATTTAAATCACTGAATCGCAACACCTTGTGATTTGTGTAGGATTCCTGATCATGCATGTTGATGTACTGGCTCTTTACCTTGGGCTTTTTGATGTTTATTCGCATTTCTGGAGAGTCATGACTTGCCTCTTAGGAAATTGATCTCATACTAATGATCTTTACCCACAAATTAAAAAAAAAAAATTCCCCTCCCCCCAAATTTAAATTGGCTTTTGAAGTTTAAAGAATGTTTCAGTCATAGAACCAAATAACCTAGGTTTTTGGAGCACTTAAGGTATTATGTCCATGGAAACACATGAACATGGTTTGCCACTGACAGGTAGGATGTCAGAGCCGTCCTTCTTCCATCGTTAGGTGCTTTTTCTTAGGTGCAGTTCCACTTGTACTGACATTTTTTACTTCCATCCTCCATGCAACCTCAGAGTGAATAAATCCTCTGGATATTGAATTTGATATTGGTTCTAAAAAGTTCAAAGAGATAATATGGACTGTTTTAAGCAAATATTACATCCACCCTTAAGCAATCAGATTAATTTGCTGCTTGATATTTGAAGGGTAGCTGTGGAGGGAGAAAGCTTATTTTAAAATGTAAAAGCCAGTTTTTCTATTTTAAGATACATGTTTTTAACATTATAGGAGATCCAGTAAAATGTAATTAATTAGTACAAGACCTAGGTAGTACAGAAAGTACACAAAAGTAAGTTTAAAATCCCATTTGGTTATTTTGATGATGACCCTTTAAACATTTTATATTCTTTTCTGCCTTTCTAAATGGTCTTCATAAACTGGAAAGTAGCTATAGAGCACCAAGTTAGGAATTACTTGAAATGGGTTTTTAAAAATAATTTTTTACAGAGCAGGGGGGAAAAATCACTCCTTTTTTTCTGGTTTGAAATAACCATTGTATGTATTTCCGCTTGATGCATAAATCATTAAATAAGAAGATTTAATTTGAAAGTATTAGCAGAGCTCTTCAGGTATTGGCCCAAAGAGAAATTTTAGTGAAACAAATACAATTGGATAGTCATCATTGCTGAGACTCTGGTATATTGTCGTGTGTGTTTTTGTTTAGCTCAATTTGGTCATAAACGCCTCTGGTATGTGTTTGCCTTCTGCTGCATCACCTGCAAGGTGTAGGAGATCAGGATTTTGTTGGCTTTAAGAGAATATGTGGCGTGTTCACTGTATATTAGATATGCCTGTATTGAATGTTTTCTCTTAGGACAGAAAAGCGTATATATTTCCTCAGCTTTCTGTTTTACTTTATTGGCTATGAGATTTGAACAGAACAGACTCTTTATTCATACAAATTATAAGAAATGAGAAACTTGTAAGAATACTCATTAGTTGAAGTTTCTGGGCAGCATCATATATATATATTTTTAACTTGATTCAGGATGTCTTATCCCTGAGTCAGTCTTAAGTTACTTATTTTTAGAATCCGTTGTTAAAAATTGTAGGGAATTAAAAGAATTGACCTTTTTATAGAGGGCGGGGGATAGATAGGATGCATGTACTTCTGAAAACTTCATTAGTTTATTCCTGTGGAGAATACCAAGAAAACCTGTACTTGGCCATTGCTAAAGAAGACATATACCATTTTATATTTATTTGTTCCTAGTGTCTTTTTGTAAGAGGAGAATAAACAATAAGGAATTACTGATCTATGTTTTGCTATTTCATTTATCAGTTTTTCTTGAAGCTTAATTAAAGAATGGTTTGGTATACCTTTCTCATTTGTGCTTTATGTTTTGAACTTGGTCAGTATTGTAGCCAGATTGCACAGACAGATTATAAATGGAAATGTAACAGATAGTTCATAATATCACCCCCCAGCTTAGCTTTGGGCTCTTGTTCCTCCTCTCCCTCTGTCCCTTAGTACTTCTATGGATGTTAATTAGCCAGTGTTTTCTGTATGTTGGGTTAATGTTCTCTGTTTTTACAGTTTTGTTTTGTTTTGCTGAGGAAGATTCACCGTGAGCTAATATCTATTGCCAGTCTTCCTCCTTTTTTGCTGAGGAAGATTTGCCCTGAGCTAACATCGGTGCCAGTCTTCCTCTATTTTGTATGTGAGCCACCATCACAGCATGGCCACTGACGAGTGGTGTAGGTCTGTAGCCAGAAACCGAACCCGGGCCACTGAAGTGGAGCACGCCAAACTTAACCACTAGGCCACCGGTGCTGGCCCTGTTTTTAAAAATATAAATACCTGTCATAGGTATCATTCCATTTAGTGTTGAGTACTATGTGTCCAATATGGTGCTAAGTACAAGGGATTACAATAATAGATACAGTGTGTGTCTTCATGGGGTTAAAGTCTAACAGAGGAGCAAAGTAAAAATAATTACAAATTTTAATAATTGCCATGATGGAAATATACTGATTTAAGAGAAGAACAAAATCACTTTTAGTAGAGGTAGTCAGAGTTCTGCTTCTGAAGAGAATGTAGAAAGCCTCAAGAGAATATCACTCCTAACTTAGCAAGGAGAAAAATCTGGGTAAAGTTACAGCTTGTTTTTTGAGTATGTCAGAGAGCTGAGGTTGCAAGGCAAAGTAAACTGAATCCCAAAGATTGATAAGCCCTCCAACAGAAGATGGGACCTACAAATTATTTCATCTTAGAAAGAATATGCGAGTAAGAAGTGGCCACTGTACAAGCAGGTAAGAAAAAAGCAGCTAAAATTTTCACGAATTCTTAAGGGCTGAGTGTGGGTAGTGCATCAGTTTGGAAAAGCTGAGAGTCTCGAGTACACACACTCACAAGTTCCTTCCCAAGGGCCTACACCAGGTGCTCACAAGAAACCCTGGGGCAGGGCAGGGACCAGAAAGTCCATGTCAGTGGTTCAGGCCTGCAGGAGGTCACTGGCTGCTGCTGAGAGAGAGGTATGAAATCCTGCTACTTCCCCCCAGACTCTTCTCTTGAAGGACCAATGAAGCATGTCACTCCCAGGATCCAGGCAAAATCCATTATTTCTGGGGAGGAATAAAGGCAAAACCCATCTGCCTCTGGGGGAAGAGTAGGAGATGCTCTGCTTTCAGGACACAGACAAAGAACCATTACTACTAGAGAAGGAGGACAAGCAAATATCCTCCGACCTTGCAGGAGGAACAGAAAAACCTGGGCCTAGGATCCTATGTGGATCACAAAAAGAATCTGCTCCCACTGGGGGATGGGCATGAAATTCACACACATGACCAACAACGGATTTAAGGCAGAGTTTGGCTACTACTGGGGAATGGGGCATAAATGTTGAAAAAGCCATACCTCTAAGGCCCAGGCACACAAGGCCTCCCTAACACTGAGGCTAGCCAAGGTCGACTGAGAAAACCTTTCTGTGCCCACCATAGTAACAAGGACCACCAGTCTGTCATGGGGAAGTGGCAAGAGTGTAGAGACAGACCCTCTGTGTGGTCATGTATCCCTGAAAGTTGAGGGTAGGACTCATAAAACTCCACCTGCACTCCACTTGCACTCTCAGCACAAGGTGACAGCAGTCCACCGCTGGGGGAGTTTGAAGCCTGTGTTGTACTAGATAACAGTAGCAACAAAATAATCCAAACCCAGATGAACTCCTGTCTGCATTGACACAACCCCCAAACTAATGGCCTGACAGAAGTGTGCACCTCTCCAGGTGAAAACAATCTACCTCATCCCTTCTATTATACACCTGACTGGCATTCAATCAAAAATCAACAGAACCAGATTCAGAGGTGACACAGATGTTGGAACTGTCACAGAGGGACTTTAAGACAACTATGATTAACATGTTAACATATCTAGTGGAAAAGGTGGAAAATCATGAAGAGAGAGGAAACTTTAGCAGAGAGTTGGGTAGGAAAGAGTCAAATGGAAATATTAGAAATAAAAAACATCAAAGATAATTCTTTCAGAGAACTTGACATAGCTGAAGAATGAATCAGTGAACTTGAAAGAGGTCAATAAGAATTATATAAATTGAGTTACAAAGAGAAAAAACAGTGATTGATGGTGGTGGGGAAAGAGTGGAGCATCTAAGAGCCATGGGACAAGATCAACTAGTCTGATGTCTGCAATTGGAATCCCATAAAAAGTAGACTGGAGCAAAAGAAATATTGAAAGACATAATGGCCAAGAATTTAACAAAGTTAATGAAACACAATAAACCACAGATCCCAGAATTCCAGAAAACCTACGTCAGAGTCAAAATGCTAAAGCCAAAGATAAGAGAAAAAATCTCTTGAAGGCAGCCAGAGGAAAAAGAAATATTACACACAGAGGAAGAAACACAATGATATCAGCAGACTTATGGTCAGAAGCTGTACAAGCAAGGAGACAATGGTGTAAAGGGTCCAGCATGTAAGGAGCTTACATGTCACTCTGTCCTAACAAGTAAAAAGCTGAACAAAGTGAAAAATCAGCAATACTTCTTGGATCCATCAGAGAAGTGAGGTCACGGGGTAAACTGCTACTCCCAGAAATGGGGAGAGAGACAGGTGAATACAGAGAATCACAACTTATCAGAGCATAGACCTATGAGCAGAAACGTCTGTGCCAGGGTAGGAAAACCTAAATTGTAATTGACAAATTGCTGGAGGCTCAGTTTGGACAAGTCTGAGAGTTAAAAACTCTAGAGCCACCCAGTCCTGGTGGCGGAAATGGACACAATGAGTTGGAGAGAGGAAATGGAAGTATACTTATGTAAGGTTCTTATGTTGTAGGTGACAAGGCATAGTATTATTGAAAGTGAATTGTGATAAATTTAAGATGTATGCTGTCAATTCTAGAGCAATCACTTAAAAAAAAAAAGCTAAAAGTAGTAAGCCAGTAGAGGTGAGAAAA